CCCCCCCCCCCCCTCCTCCAGATTAACAAAGCCAAATAAGTGGATTTATTTTCACTACAGGTTAAACCAGTACATCCTTAAGCTCCAAGCAGGGGTGTTAAAATGCTGACCAACTGCAACAAGACCCAGTGCACTCATGTATACCCTTCAGGCTTGAACACTTCTCTGTGTGTGGGAACCTACAGGTACTGACCCTCTCACCATTACCTAAGCAGACCACTATTTACACTTTATTCTGCAAGCTCATTGAGATGTGGTCACGTCAAAACTGCAACAATTTTTAAGGTTAGATATACTTGTTTCAGCTTATTTCCATTGCAAAATTATAGAGAAATAACTAATTTGTTCTCTTTAAAATTATATGCTCATGGACTGTGTATTGTATTCTTGATATCCAACGTGCTTGGAGGTATTAAATAGATAGTTCACCCAAAAATGATGTCATCATGTACTCGTTCCAAACCTGTATGAGTTTCTTTTTTTCTGTTGAGCACCAATGTTTTAAATAAATAAATAAAATACTATGGAAGTTGATGGCTAACATCAACATTTTGGTTACCAACATTCTTCAAAATGTTCAACAGAAGAAAGAAACTCATACGTTTGAAAATGAGGAAGGTGAGTAAATGATGACATGAATTTATTTTTGTATTTTTTTGGGGGGGGGGGCTCAACTGTACCTGGTTTTGTGCCCTTGGTCTTTACAGATACTAAGTTGTCCTTTTGGTAAAGAGAAATTAGTAGAAATAATAAGAAAACATCTAACACTGGGCTAAAATAAAACAAAATACATTTGAGAACCAGAACTGACTATTACATAATACGATTCAATTATATAAACATGTTTATATGCAGTTTTAATATAATGGACCTCGAAAGTTTTTTTTTTTTTTTTTTTGTTTAATGTATGTACATGTATAACACTATCATTTGTATTATATCACCTTTGCATCAAGTTACAAAAAAATAAAACAAATAAAATAAGAATAAATAAATAAATAAACAAACAAATAAATAAATACATTAATTAATTAATTAATTAATAAAGTTAACAGCGAGGGCGTTTCTAATGCAGTGCATGGCAAATTTGACATAGTTCTCTCTTCTGACTGCCGTTATCAGTCTCTCTCATTTTTTGTCCTTTTATTGAAAGTCATGAAAACACTATCGCGGAGTTTTTCTTTTGCTATTTGAGCAAATGGGAATGCAACACATATTTGCGGTACTCTCCCATTCACTGCTCTTCAAGTTAACCCAACTATGACGCTGCCGAGAAATCCGGAAATGTGAAAAAAGGTCCATTAGGCTATTTACATGGGTGTATGTTACCTACCTGCAACTCGGAGTGGCTCCGTTCACAGTAAATGCTCCTCCACACCAACTGTTATCATTTACGTGTGTGGATCCTCTCAAACTCCACCATCTCTGCATATTTTCGTGAGTTTGAGTTTATTATAATGTTCATCTGGGAACACAAAGTGCTCCATTTCGTCAGATTTGTAAGGTAAATAAATAAACCAACACAGACACAGGACAGTATCAGTATGTTTCTCAACATGCTAACTGTTCATCACGATTTCAAAATAAATGCTCAAACCTTCGCTCTGAGTTTACACGTTTTGATGTCCACATAGCTATTCAAGAAATGACGTGGCTGTTGCATTTCTGTCATAAAGAAATCGCCAAACATTAAAGATTAAGTGTACATTTCAATTAAATGTTGTTTAGTCAATATTAAACAAGCATTAGATCGCGCTAAAGTGTAAAAACAATGGTCAGGCCGTTGGCGCCCTCTGCAGTCATTTGTTATAATGGATAATGTACGTTAGGTCTGTTGTTTATAGTACATTATTAATTTTAAGAGTTTTGTTAAAACCATACTTGCTTTTGATACTTTATTTGAACTATTTACCTCATTGATATTATATGTATTTTAAGCCTAATTTTAAAGGCTATTGTTAACTTAGGTCTGTTTTTATTATTACAAAAACTGTAATTATAATTATCCGATTACTCCATTAATCATCAGAATAATTGACCGATTACTCCATAACCAAAATAATCATTAGCGACGGTCCTTATTAAGCCTACATTTTTGGTTTTAATATGCTCTGCTTCACGTCGTGCCTAACAACGCCCTTCAGCCGTGATTTATTCACGATACAGCACCTCTCGTACCTTATTGCTTATATATATATATATATATATATATATATATATACACACAGGGTGTGAACTACGGGGGAGCTAGGGGGAGCTTGGCTCCCCTTAATAAGATATGCTGTCAAACGATTAATCGCGATCCAAAATAAAAGTTTTTGTTTACATGATATATGTATGTGTACTCTGTTTATGTATATATAAATATACACACATACTGTATATATTTGAAAATATTTACATGTATTTACATTTATATATTTATATTATATATATATATATATATATATATATATATATACACACACATATATATTATACACACACACACACACACACACACACACAAAGAAAAACAAGTAAATAGAATAGAAAAAATAGAATAGAAAAACTTTTTTTTTTTTTTATTAGAATTGGAATGCTAGAGTTAGAGGGTCAAATAAAGGTGGAACAGATGTGTTTTTAGTCGTTTCTTGAAGATGGCTAAGGACTCTCATGCAGTGAAAGAAAACACACTAAATAGTCTACATTACGTGAAGTAGTCTAGACTTCACGTAATTTATGCGTGCGCTCTGTAGGGATGTTTTGAATGGTTTTTGCAAAATACTCGATAATGTCAAATCGCACATCGTTAAAACAACAAATACGATATTATCGCAGACGATATATATCGCACACCCCTAGTATATATACACACACACACACACACACATACAGTGTTGGGTGTAACTACTTACTAAGTAATTAGTTACTGTGATTTAATTAATTTTCCCTTGAAAAAGTAAAGTAAGGGATTACTCTTATTTTTTTCTGTAATTTAATAACAGTTACGTATTATGCAATTGAACTTAATACTGTGTATAGACTGTAGAACATTTATATACAATACAATAGCGGATTTAACATCAGAATTTAAAGTCTAACCTTAAAATGCATGCTTTTTATGTACCCTTTATACTTTAAATACTTTGGTGAGTTAATAAGAATATTGGTAACACTTTCGTGTCCAATTCTCACTATTAACTTGTTGGTTATTAGCATGAATATTACTGAGATATTGGCTGTTTATTATTACTTAAAAAGCACATATTAATGTCTTATTCTGCAAGACCTTATTTTTAGGCAAAAAGTCATAGTTAATAATTAGTTAATAGTGAGAACTGGACCCTAATCTAAAGTGTGACCAGAATAATTCATGTAGTTATCTATTATATTTTTGAAAGAATTAAAATAACCGTTACCTTGTATGATTAACTTGTCTAGGTTGATATAGGATTTAGAAAATAATTAGTAATAAGTAATTAAATACTTTTTGGAGAGAGTCATTTGTACAGTAATCGAATTACACTGTTGAAGATGTAATTAGTAACATTAGTAACTAGTAATTAATTACTTTAGAGTAACTTACCCAACACTGTGTGTGTGTATATATAATACTTACTTAATATAATTGTATAATTTTATATAATTTTTAAATTACATTATAAAAAAAATTAATACTTTTAATACTAAAATTACTAAAAATAACAGAGAACCAACCACAATTTTCTGAATGAAACCTAGGCCTTTCTGGGGAGAGACAGTGCGTTCCCTTGTGACTTAATTAAATATAAGTAGAAACAAGCAAGAGAGAATGAAAGAGGGGAAAGTGAAAGAAAAAGATGAATGTGATGCTAGCAGAATGCTTCAGCTCATGAGCGCAGCTGACAGGCCCTGTCTCGGCCTTTAATGACTTATTTATTCAAGCATAATTAAGCTCAGGCCTGGAGCGGTGATTAATGCTCTTTGTCAGCTTGCAGAACAATACTTCAAACTTCCTGAGCCCTGGCTCATCTCCAGCTCTTCTTTTCTTTCTGTTCGTCTAACCATGCAGTTCTTTACATCTAGGGGCAATGACCAAGACTGTGATGTACAGCATGATATATGTGATGTAGACAACACTGGGGTAAGATGAGCCACTGTAAGCTGACCTACCTTGAGGGAACTTCACCAGTGGTTGTTCAATATGATTTTAAATCTTGTGTTACATTGTTGATTATTATTCAGAAATGATAGTTTAGACACAGAACAAAGGGACAACCAACAAATCTTTAAGGAAAAACAGACTTCTGAAAATGAGAGTTCTGTGGAAGAGAAATACAATCCAGACAATTTGAACATGTCAGCTTGTGAATTTATCAGGGAACTTTGCAAGCGATTACAGTGAAATCCATTACACTGGCTTAAGGACAGTTAAGAAGTTGGCAGATTTCTTTGAAGAATCCGAGAGCACATTACGTTAGAGAAAAAAAGTCTTTACTTTCGAGGAAATTGATGTAAGGGGTTTTCCATGAACTTCCGTGCTGAAGAAAAAAAAAATCCAAACACACTGAACTGATGGATGAAATGTTTCACAGCCTCGCATGGACATCTGCTGAATGTTTTTTTTTTTTTTTTTTTTATGTTAAAAATTACAAATATTAAAACTTTCTGAATATTTAAAATAAATTAGATTATATTTTCTTAGTGGGGGAATAACAAAATAAGAATAACAGATCAATAATAATAATAATAATGTTACTTTAAAAAGTTAATTTTAGTATTAATTTTTATAATTTATTTTTGTCAAAATATGCTATATTGCTTTCTAATAATTTGAGTTGATATGAGACTAATGAGTACTAAGCCTAAGTAACTGACAATCATACCCTTCTCTCCCCTATGTGAGACGTAGACTGCTTGTCCAGAATTTAGCCGGTCAGTTCAGCTGGTGAGTTTATCTGTGATCTTTGCACAGGAAGCAGGTTTTAATCTGGAGAAATGATCGTTCAGGATTAGTGAATACTCACAGATCTGCATAAATCGGTGTTTGCTCAGGTTAAATGAACCTCAGGATGTTTCCTGGAACTCCACTGAAGCCAAACATTATAATTTAAGTGGAAATCTACCAGTTACAGAAGGTTTTAAAGAAGAAGATGCAGTATTGAAATGCTTGGATATAGCAAATGTAACAGTTAAAGAAACAGCCATGTCAGTTAGAATATGCCAACAAAAATTACTGTAAATTAATTTATTTTACTGCCATTATTTTATATAATTGTTTGTAGTTATGCATTTATTTATGAGGGACAAAACAAATTAACTACACTGTAAAAAATGGCCGTGAATTTAACGGTAAAAGACTGTAAAAATGGTTAACAG